TATATATACTACTGGCGTCTGTGTTCTTTCATTATTGATAATAACATCAGAAATTGAGTTCTTTCTAAGCAGTTATCTTCTTATTCAAGCAAAAAAGAAAAAATTTAAACGATGTTTAGAAACCAACGAAAAAAAAGCAACGTGTATATCAATGAAAATTTTTTATTAGTAAATAGCTTTACTTTGCATGCAGAATACTCACAGGTAGTGAAGATGCAAATGCTGTCGCTGTTTCTTATTTTTCGTTAACGAATTGCTAGGCAGTAAGACTTTTGCATGTGCAGCGCCAAATTATTCATGAAGTACGGCAGCTTAAAAATGACGAGAGGTCCTTACAAAACTGAATAGTATACAAAAAAACTTTGATAAGGATAAGGTAAGAAACAAAAAAAAGGTAAAGAAAACTTTTTTCGCGAGTTTGTTGCATAAATGTATTATTATAAAGAGTAATACTGTAAAGAAAAAATGTTTAGAAAAAAAATAATAAGACACCCAAAAACATACACCAAATTATGAATCAGGCTTTATTGCCAGAGAAGGTCATTTACAGTAGCCATTATTGCCGACTTTAACTCCATGAAGTCCTATAAATGGTTTGTTATCTGTTACAAATCTAACCGATGATTCCAGAAGGAACAAAAAAACCGAGCAGTTTTAATACAGGACAACTTCTGAACCAGTGGATTAATGAAACTTTACTAGAAGGCAGCAATTGGATAACACTTGCAGCACTGGCATTATCGACTTTTACAGCAGAGTCCTCTCCCACCCCCCAAAAAAATCCGATTTTGGAAGCCTCAGTAACTGGTCCAAAAGCAAGCGAACGACACTGTTCAGATCTGGTATAACTAACAAAAGAATTGAATAAAGCAATTTTAAACTGCTTTAATCTTTTGTAAAGACAAAAGAAGCTTGTAATAAGGTAAGTAGCACTATTTTCAGTGAGAATCTGATGACACTTCACCTTTCATTCTAATTCAACTTTCAAATTTGAAGTACCTTAGTGATCATAATTACTTATTTCAGAATGTTACTCAAGTAACTTTCAGAATAACGTTGAATGTTTAAACCCCACGGTTAAATCTTGCATCTTCATATACGCATTTCAGTACTTTAAAAGCAATCCCACTTCAATGAAATAGACAGCTCGTGGCAATCCTTCCAAGTAATCCAAGTACACTAAATCCACATCCAATAAACTTCAAGCTTCTTGAACTAACCGTCTGTTCCCAGCAAGTTCTTACGCACAAAAATGTCACACTGTTCCGTGATTCCGGTTAAGGTTCGGCGGGAAGGGAGAAAGAGAGAGAAAAAAAAAAATACAACACAAAAAAACTATAAAAATTTGAAATTTTTATTATAAAGACTGCTGATGGTAGCTGATGGATAGCCTGTGGCAGAAAGGGAACTTTCCATGCATTTTCTAAATATGATCCCAGCATCTTTATTCTGTGCCTCAAAACGATCACAATTTCGTTTCCATTACAACAGGTGATAGATCGGTATCTGATTTTGATTTCTGCATGTCTACAGAAGCTTTTCCAGAAAAACGACGACAAATTTATAGAAGTTATCGTGCATAAAGATGTAATTTATTTAGAGATGGACTGTTTGATAGTCAAACATTTGTTCACCTCATTTTATATCAGAACCTCCTACTCTTCAGTCCTCTTCTGCCCACTGCATTTCCTTAATCTTTTGCTTGCTTTACCATTAAAAGTTATCCCAGAAATGCTGTGTCAACTAGACGACTGCCAAAATATTTTTGCCAAGCAACAAATGAAAAAACTCTGATTTCAACGATACCTGCAGTACGAAACTAACACTCAAATGATTATTTAAAAGTGCTTACTGGATGTTTACATCTGTTGTGATGATTATACAGCAGTTTGACAGGTTATACAACAAAAAATGAAAAAAAAACATCAGTATCTTCATTTATAAAAGAAGTTAAAACTTTACTTCACACAATTTTCATCCAGTGCTTTCTATTGAAGACGATTTGTATGTGCACTGGTAGAGACCAATTATAACGCCCAGTTGACAGTAAATTGAGCTGAACAAAGAAGCGATATTAATGATGAAAGCGTTTTCTAAACATACAAGTACCTTTTCAATCGGAAGGGATGAGAAAAAAAGGAAATATTATGAAGACGGATCTATAACGTATTGCAACGAGTAACCCATGATGGTGCCAGCAATACCGAAAATGACAATATTACTGTTGTAGTCGGAAACGTCATTCATCACGAGTATTGAAAGCAGAAAAAAAAGCAAAATATTTGTACACAAAAAACCAAGTAAAAAACAATCGCTGTGCTGAAAAGTGAAGAATTTAGTTTTGATTTTACTAATATCAATGGCACTCTCGATCTCCAATTCGGCTTTTTTGACGAGCTTTTAAAACGTTTTTTTATAATTTCCGTTTTTTTTAAATTCTAAGTTCTTCTAGAAACGAAAGCACAGAACAAAGGAGTAGAAGAAACTCAACGGAATTTTAGGGTCTCGAGAACCTATTAGTATCCGTGATGCTACTATTCTTTTCAACCCTATTCCTTTTCGCAAGATTTCATTAATCATGAATAAGTACTTCACGAGTACTCTCGGAAAGCATACATATGCGGCGTCCAATAAACAAGCTGTTGTCTTCCACGATAAACCATCTGGTAAACACCATTGCAATTGAACGACTCGTCGATCGTCTTATTTGTGTTACACAACCAATAATTAACTAAAAATCTGACAGTCACACATGAAAACCTAGAACGCAACACCAACAATTTCACAACTACAGCCTGTCAAGTCTCATTCAAATAACGAAATGCTTGGCAGTTACCGTAATAACAACAGTTTTCCTAAAAACGTTATTCAGCTACTTTTCTCCTCTCAAAAACCCTGAAGACAAAACAGACTTCTTTAACCAGACTTACAAAACGTTCCTGTCTAAATTCACATAAAGCAACACTTTTACTGCCTACCCGTTTTTTAAGGAAATACTACAAATGATAATCAGCGAGCGTTTTTGATCCTTCCCGCAACATCGAGACAATTACAACAAACTCCTCTCCCCTTTAGTAAAACCAATGAAAAAGAAAAGAAAAAAACTGACAATATCCTGTCAAAACAACAAATTAAACCAATGAGGTCAACATCTTAATTAGCCCCACCACTATGAACAAGTCATAGTTGGACACCGTCACACGCATAAGGAATATACCTTCCGCGACCTCTTTGTGCTGGCACGTTCCTCCAAACTGTAGACTCAAGAAAAACTCTGGATATAGGTAGAAAAAAACAAAGCAGAACCTCAACCACCGTCAGAAATAAACAGCAAAAACCAATTTCTCAAAAAATATTAAAAAAGAACAGCAGCATACTAGACAAAACAGCTGTAAAAGCTAAGCTACCATAATTAATTTAAATTACTAAAGAATTCGTGCATTCAAAAATCTTATTACTATTGACGGTCTACTGCACTGTGACTAAACCCGTATGTTAAGTGGTCTCAAATTTGCAAAACAATGCTCCGTAACTGTAGGAAATACGTTTCCCTAGCACAAAAAACTGGTTCCAGTTTCTAACCTGCACGTTTTCATCAATACCTTAAAAGTCGATTAAAAAGAAAGAACAACTCATATCTACCGCAGTTCATTGCAACCAACAATTTAAACTGAATGCTTTAAATAGTAAAGTGCAGTAAAAGCTTCGAACAAATGCTTAGAGTGAAGAACGAAGCAGATATAAGATGATCGCCTCCAAACCAACAATGACAAAGAGAACATTCACGAAAATCAAAGAGAGCATCTTTTGGTAGATAATTCAGTAAAACTATACATAAACACAATAAGAAAAAAGCACTAGCATTTTCAGACATATATATATATATATATATATATATATATATATATATAGAAAATAAATATACAATTTACAAAATATCAAACCATGTAAAACAGCGCACGGTGCTACAGATCTGATAAAACGTAAGTTCTTTTTACACACACACAACTAATTTAACAGTTAACTTGTAGAATATCACAATTAATAAGATTTGGCTAGAAATAAAAGCTGAAGACTACTTTCAGCATTTAAATTTTGAGGTAAATTAGAAAAAAAAAA